AGGCAGTTAGACCTCTCCGGTGGAGCTGGCGGTCATGGCTGTTTGCGTATGTTCTTCACAGATCCTCCATCACAGCTCCCACTAGATTTTCATTCTGATTATCAAGTTTTGCTCCAGCGACTCTCACGTCAGGGCTCCATAAATCCTCTGGTCATATTAGTGTTTGACTGGTTGGAGATGGAAGTAAGAGTGGCATAAACCACCTCAACCTCCTGCATGCTGCTCTGTGTGGTTGTCAAATGAAACTGATGGTGCGGTGTTGTGATTAGAGGTGATGATTTTGTTCGAGATAGATCACATATAAAAGTGGAGACTCATCACGCACAGTTGAGTGTAAACTGGTGGTACTCCCAGATATAGACTATGTACAAAACAAATATGCCCAATTAAAAGTATGTAATGTCTGATTAGTGGTGTAGTTTGTTGTGTCTGTGACTCAAACCAGAGCAGTTTGATGTGGAGAAGCAGTTTTTAAGATAACATAAGCTCGTCATATCTTCCACTGTAGAAAAAGTGTGGTCAGGCTGTATTTTTAAGCACAATGTCTGCTGGCAGTTATGTTCCCTGTCTCTTCATATTCTTTAAAATGCCCTCTTGTTCTGCTTCAGATTACAGTGTTTGTGCAACTCGGTGGTTTTAAATGACTTGTCCTTGGATGAGGGAACTCCTGATAGAGGTGTTTATTCTTCAGGGTTTGCAGTATCATTTTGCATGTTTTCAAAAATGACAGGATATGTGCTGCCCACATTTTGATAAAGTCTCAACTTTTGAACGCCCTGGTTGACATACACCATGTAACTGTACTTTTAATGTTTTGAGTTTAGCATTATTAACACGTTTTGGTCACTAGAGCCTGACTAACATATCACCCGGGCCGAAATATCAGCTGATATTATCAAAGATAAATTCATAACGCTGTGTGTAGGATTTAGTGCCATCTAGCAGTGGAATTACAGATTGCAATTAACTGAACACCACTCACGTCTGTATTTGACGACTTGGGAATGAGAATAGTTTGTCCATTCTGGGACTGTAGAAACATGGTGGATCAACATGGAGGAAATCATTTCTTATTTTCAGGTGATTAAACACTAATGAAAACTTACCTATGAATATTATATTTCTGACAATAGATCCTCCTCAATGTTACACACTGCACCTTTAATCGTTGTGTGTATAAAATGCCAGAAAGGCTATTCTCTACAGCACTAAACTGTTGATAACCGCTAAACGATCATTTAAAAACATTTAAGATTAAAACAGATTGTTGATCAGATACTTTCAAGTCAACTTTTTCAGTGGACAATTAATTAATTATTAATTAATAATAAACAAGCCCCGCCCCTTTTTGCTCTGCACTCCTATAACAGTTGAGCAAACCTTCAACTTCCTCCTTTCCTGATATGCTATGTGCTAGGCTAATCTATGTTGAAAAGAGCCACATTTTGAAGATGGTTAAAGGTTAAAGAGACACATAAGTTAGATATTGTTAGCAAAATGCTTGTTAAGTGTCTAGCTAATTTACATCAAGTGTTGACTAGATTTTGAAATGGCTAGTTAGTTAGCGTTTTGTTACAGAGAAAAACACAAGCTTACTAGCTATCTAATCTACATTCAGCTTTAACTAGCTAGTTACAATGCTAGTGAATTACCTTGCCATCAATTGATATAGGTTAGCCCTTATAATCATCATCTACATCTTCTTTTCAATTTAGATTAGCCTAGCACATAGCATATCTAAGTACAGGGAGAGATGTTTACAGAGGATCCAAAAATGGTTGGGGCTTAGGAAGAGTCAATTAATAGATAAATAATGAATAATGTAATTAGGAGCAGCCCTAGGCATTAATCAGCGAGGTGATTGGAAATGTTTTATGGCTCAAATCTGGTTGCTGTTGAGACTCAGAAACTGAAAACCTTGCTTCAGTTGTTGTTTTTCTAGTTTAAAACAAGAAAATCTGCATATTAATTAAAGGCAAAGCCTGCAAATAGGATATACACTGTTTATTTGGTTAAAATTAAACCTTGCTTGAAATCAATCATAACATTCTCAATGTTGTAAATCCTTCATGAAACAGCTTTAATGCCCACATTTGCAGTACCATTTCATTTCATGTTTTGGTTTTAAGTTGATCATCCAGCGACACAAATCATTGTAACGTGTTGAGTTTAAAAGTGTCCGAACATCCAGAAAGTGTGCAAGGATGGAGCTCAGATAATCATTGTTTTAATGATGATTATCACTCAGAGGAAATATGTCCTTTCCATCTTGTTGACAGTTGCTCCTGCAGACAGTGTGAATATCTGACTGCCACCATCTCTTAATGGCAAATATGTGTAAATATACAGTCCCTTAATTCACACTTCAAACACAAATCTAATACATGACTGGAACCTGTTATCACACTGACAGTTATTTTAATGAGTTAACACCAGATTACTACATAAGTCTGAGTTATGCATGTTTTTAATGTTGCTAAAGATTGAAGTAAAGGTTGAAAACACAGCAGTAAAAAAGGCCCATGCTATGAATCATAAATAGTTGAGATGATTTTTCATAATAACTCACTTTTCAATGACTGTAGACTGTAAAACAAGCCATAGAGGTGGTAGCTCACCTGGAAGAGCTGGCGTCACATGTACCTTGCTGCAGCGGTCAAAGGTTCGACTGTAACCTGTAGCCCTTTGCTGCATGTCTTCCTCTCTCTCTCTCCCCCGGTTTCCTGTCACTCTACAGCTGTAATCATCTAATAAAGGCAATAAAATGTGTCAGTGTGGGATCAAGGTAAAGCTTGCAGTCCGGTGCTTCTACAGCGTCTAAAGTCCGAACCACTGCGTGACAATATAAAAATACTAAGTAGAGGGTTAGCAACAGCTAGCATAACCTCCTGTGAATGATGTTTGTATTTTTTGTTGAAATGTCTGATGTAAAGTAGTCCTACACGCTCGAACCAAAAAAAAGTCAGATTTTCATAGATTTGATGAGATTTTAACCCTAGCATTGATGTATCCCCACAGTAAAGTCATATAATTTAGTTTACAGCTCAAAACAGCTTTCAGTGTGCAGTACCTCTTTAAAATTACAATATTTACTTGAGGCTGGCTGTTTTGCATCACCAAACAACATTATGGGTCATCAATTTTAGCATTGTTTACCTCTCAAGCTAATGTAAATCCAGCTCCAAATCAGCAGTGAACTTTACTTCAGTGTCCAGAACTCCGTTATGTTTCAAACACTGAGGTTCAATGTGGTTTCTGGTGACGCTAATCCAGACTTTAGTGCATAGCTGGTATTTCAGGAACCATTAAGGCAACATAAGGAACACACTGCTGACATTTTGTGCAGAGCCAGTACAATGTTATTTGATCACACTTGTTAGTTGTTAATCGTTGTTGTGTCAGCAGGAGAATTCTGTCTTAAATAATCTGTTAGTGCAGCCGGAGAAACACTCTTCAAGCTGGCAAAATCGAAAAAGTGAATTGTGAGATATAAAGAAAAAGGTGTTCTAGCTCTCCAGAGCAAAGTGCTAAGTGACCCAATCCTGATGGGGTCTAAGTGGTTAGTGTGTGTGTGTGTGTGTGTGTGTGTGTGTGTGTGTGTGTGTGTGTGTGTGTGTGTGTGTGTGTGTGTGTAAGGGGTTAAGGGGGTGTTGTTGTCACATTCTGTCAGCTCTCTGAAAGCGTAAGCCTGGAGGAATACCTGACAACCATCTGGCGGTTGTTTTTCTCTGTGACATCTTTCACACACAGAAACTTTCACATGCATTAAACTCAGGCACACACACACATTTACACGCCGAGATGCAGCCTGGAAGGACTCCAGCAGCTTCTGTTTATTTGAATAATTAACATTTGGATTGCAGGGTTTTGTGTATTGTATGCCTTGAACTTGACTTGGTGTGCAGTCTGAAAACAGTCCCACCTTGTACCTCATATTTCTGCTCTCATCTGTTTTTAAATGTTGTGTGCATGTATTTGCAGCATGTTGATGGATTACTCCACTGTTGGTTTATTTGAGTAATGATACCACTGTCTCGTCCTTGGATGGATTGATCAGAAATATCTAGGCCGTCATGTAGTTTAAAGGACTTCTTTAATGTCTTGGCTGCAGTATTTCCTACTAGCAGAGGATGTATCTCTGCTGGTTGACCCTACAGGATGTGCCATTGTGGAGGCTGCTGCTCCGAGATGTTTCCAGAAGGTTGTAATGGCAGCAGGCCATGATCCTATTAGTCGACATCAAAGATGAAGGAAGCTGTCAAGATTGGGTTTGGTTAGCCCACGGGACCGAGTTGTAAAAGCTTCCATGTATGTAAGTACGTTTGCCACGAGATCTGCCCAGGAGATCCTGTAGAACTTAACATATGTTGAAAATATAGGCATGAAATGCAAATAAAGTCTACAAAACTCCTCAACAAAACTGAGTCCAGTTTTAACAGATGACTAGACGCCTCGTCGACAAGGCACAGCTGAAGACCTAGTAAAAAACAGTAACACATACATACATCCTCTGTAGGCCGTAAAGATAGAAATGCGCCGTTTTTTTCTGTTTGATACAGATACCGTCATATACCATATACTTGAGTGAAATGTCTGCAAGTTATGGACAAATAGAAAGCACCCAAGCCTAGTGCCTGTTGTCTGGCAGTCGGTATAACCGTTGTTTTAGCAAAGAAGCCACTCAATAATTGGCTTTTCCATCATGCCTTTAGCAAACTGCAAACTGAATTTACGGCGTGAGTAGATTTCCTCCCTCTGGGGTATTCTGGTAATGTGGAGGGCCAAGGTCATTGGTACGAGCCATTTGGTCCTCGTGTCACAGAAGGAGAGCTGTGACTGAATAACTTTCCTTGGCCGGATGTCTGAGCACATGCAACTGTACAGGTTGCATGTACAACCTTTCCCTTCCACTTCTCTCAGTTTATATCATCCAACAATGATCCATTTTGGAGGTGGTTATCAGAGGCTTTTGCAGCCCTAACACTGACTTTACTTTCCAGGTGCGGGAGAGCTTTGGGCTCATCAAGTTTCCCATGGACCAGTATCAGAACTCGTGCTGCTTGTTCTGGATCCTGGAGGAGCTCCTACAGAAGTCAAAGGTACCGTGCAGGGTGGAGGTAGGGTCGGAGCAGGCCGGCTTCCTGAGCCACTTGGAACGCCGCATCTTTCTTTTGTCAAATGAGTTTCCCATGTTTTCTATCTCCATGTGGAGGATTGGAGGTCTCCTCACCGTCTCGGACAGATAAAAGCCCCCAGGTGCAAGTTAAAAGCAGGCCACATTCAGAGGTTTGCTTTCCCATTTTGTGGCTAGGTGCGACTACATCATATTACCAAAGGACCATAATGTTCAAAACTAGTTGAAGAATAAGTAAAGTGTTTTATTTCTATTCTTGTCAACAAATCTCTCAAAACAACCAAAACCAGCTGTGACTGTACCTGCTTATATATCTGCTTCCTCTGTGCCAGTTCCATTGTGTCCAAAAACTATTAATAACTCATAAATGTTCCATCATTACCATGACCACACACACCTTTTTTTATTTATACACCATCCTGCTGCCACAAATACTCACTACAGCAGTGGTTCCCATTCCTGTCATTGAGAAAACTGACTGTATTTTATGTATATTTCATATTATTCTTCAATAATAACAATAACAGTAGAGGACAGCTGATAAACTGAACAATTAACCCAAACAGTGAACACAAGAACTGCAGGAAGTTTGTGTAAAACCAGAGATTTGGATGAATTTGAGAAGATTATTTCTTATGTTATATATTTATATATATATATATATATATATATATAGATATATTTATAATTAATATATAGATATTTTTAGGAGCGTATTATTAGAATATATATATATATATATATATATATATATATATTAATAATGTACTATCTAAACCTAAGAGAAAAAAATACAAACAACATGCTGAGATATAGGCCTACTGTGTATATTTTTAAGTTTTCTTACACCCCTAAAAGTCCTAAAGCAACCCTAGTGGGGGTCCCAACCTTCCCAAAAAATGCTCAAAATTCATCCAAATTGCTTGTTTTGCACAAACTTCCTGCAGTTATAGTGTTCACTGTTACAGTATATCAGTTGTTCTGTATGTGTTGAATACAATATGAAATATCCATAAATATATTTGATATGCCACTTAGTCAGGGATCATCAGTTTACTCAATAATAGAAAAGGACTCCCTTGAGGAAAGAGTTTGGGAACCACTGCACTAGAGCACCAAATGTATATTAATCTGCCACTGAAAATAGTCCAGCAAATGAACAATTTCCTCCTGTTTGTTTAAAAGAACAAAAACTACAGTGAGCTGCTGTTTAAGTAAATTACTGAACCTCTTGTGAGGTGTTAGATTCACGTCTTCAGTGGGAACCAATGAGCTGAGAAAGCACTGACAGATGGACAAACACAAAGCTGGTTTTGGTCTTTTTGTGGGACTTGTTGACAGTTGAAACATATTGAATATTGTAAAGAAATAAAGGTTATTCTGTACAACAAATTGAAATACTGTGCACAATTTTGGCATACGTTGTTATTATCCATCTCAAGCCAAGAAAGTTTAACATGGGAAAAGAAATACGTACTAAATCTGAGAATTTGAAGGGATTCTGTCAAAATGTGGACATTATTTCTCTGTTTGCTCTAAAATCATTGTTGACATGTAGGTATTTGCTAAATATCTGCACAATACACTCTTAATGAGGATTTTAATCTTTTTACAGGCTTGTTGAAACTTGTGAAAAATATCAGCAAAACATGGCAAATGTTTGTACTTTAGTTTGTTTCAATTTGTTCATTCTGCTAAATGGTATGAAATGCATAACTGCACAACTGAGTGGAGCAATTAAATCTGATATTTTCTAATAGTTTATTTATTTATTCCAACATTCAATATGTCTGTAATTGAGTCATTTTATTATTGCCAGTAAAATTGTTTTACAACTGACATTTCAGTGTTATCGGAGGTTGAAGTGCTGTTGCTGGTGAAAGCCACAAAATTACTTATAATTCTTGTTAAGTACTGATAGTTTGGATTCTTCCTTGACTGTCTGTAGTGGATCGACGAGCGAGTGCTTACAAAGGCCTTTTTAATTTATTTATTTTAGTTGAGGCTTTTAACATCATTCTTCTGCATGGATATTAGAGGGTGTTGAGTAAATGGGAGATATCTGTTGTGTGTTAAAAGTGTTAAAGCTTGGCTCTAAACCACTAAACAGTGTTCCTAAACTGTGTATAAACACTGGAGCTATGTTTTATATGTTGTTTTGTTGTGCACTTGGGATGGAGAGAAGATGAAGCTCAGGGAATGAGCAAGTGAGAGCTGCTCCAACTCAACCACACAGCACAGGCCGAAAACAACAAGAACTCAACTCCCATGATCCCACACTGCTTCACCACCTCATCAAACTTCCTCTTATTGTTCTAATATGGGACTTTTTAGAGAAATTTGAGGGAGTAAATCAAATAAGAAGGAGGTAAATAAAAATATTTTGAGAAGTGAGACCGATTCTACCCCATCCCCAGTGGAAACTACGCCCTGATTTGTTCAAGTATTGAAAGTGCTTCCACCCTCTGCTAATGGTTTCGGCCTCTGTTCCCTGATGCTCTGAGCTTGTTAGCCTCTCATCATTCCCTGGTCTGTTTCCTACCCTCTCCAAACCGAGTGCCTCCACCTGCAGCGATGTTCTCCTCCCCACTGCTTATTTGGTGTCTCCAATAATGGCCCAAGCATGAGCGCAGCTAAATAAGTTTCCTGGTTCATCACAAATTACCAAAGGCTCACGGGCACTCTGCCGTGCCGATAGCCATCGCTCCCATTGTGTCTGCTTTGGGTTTCTGCCCGTCTCTGTCTGTGATCTCCTCATCTTTCATATCCTGTTGAGAGCAAAGGAGGGATGGGCTGCGCTTTAAAAAATAAAAATGGACTGCTCATACGTGCGCTGATGGTTAATGTGCCTCCGTGGTGAAGTGAATCCGTCTCATTCTGCGGGGGATTGACGGGCACAGACATGGCGGGTTGCGTCATCAGCAGAGAACCCCGGAGAGAGTCTCAGCACGTGTATGAGCTGTTTAGAGTAGAGGAGATTAATGCTTGGATAATGAAAAAACCTGCTTGTATATTGATAACAAGAGAAGATCTGCTGCTGAAAGTCTGCTGATATTCTAGATGTTTCTGTTAACAAATCCCATGAAAAAATCAACAATCAGTTTATCCTACTAACAGGTAGTGCCTGTGTAATCCGGATATATCTTACTCCTCTATGCCACTGACGGCTGCACAATTAATAGTATGAAGATCATGATCTGGATACATTCCTCTGTGTAATCTCATCTATGTGACAGCATTCCTCACTGTTGGCATTAGCAGGGAGAACCACTGCATCAAACCAAGCACTCCCGATATCTCCTTAAACTTACATCATGTGACAAGAAGAGGGGGCAGGACATTGATATAAATAACTCAAATGTGCAAAAGAAACCGACAGTGATGGTGAGGAAGAACGATTTCTTCATCCTGGTTCTGACAGGATCTCTGTGCAGTCTGCTGTTTGGAAGCAGAGTCAGAAAACACCTGCATTACTTTCCATGCTAATGTAACACCACAAGTTTTACAACGTCACACACAAATTCTGTATGTCCCTCAAACATCGAGCCGACCATAGCGGGAAAAATACTATCACACAAGTTAGCCAAACATATCTGTAGTGGTCACCACTGCAAAACAAGGTGTAGGAGCCACTGACACTTAAATTTATATTGCTCATTTTTAATTTATCACATTTATTATATAGGTTCTATTATACCACGGTCTGGGTGAATACTGGATTCTGATAGGCTGCTGGGTGTCGGGCGGTCCTGCCCTCCCCGTCCGGCATTATCCCTCACATATTATTTAAGGTTACCAAAGTTAATGTATATTTTGAACAATGTGTTATAGGTTATTCTGCTCTTAAAGGGCCAGTGTGTAGGATTTTTTTTTACTGTCCAAATTATTAATCAATGAGCCGAATATTAACAGACACTTTTTTTTTTTTTTTTTAAGAAATTCACTAGTTTAACTCCTAAATGACAATACTCTCTCCGTTAAAAACTAATCCAGAAAATAACATGCAGATTATTCAAAAATGAAAAGAATTGTTGGTTGCAGCCTCCATCATCTGACTGTTACTCATGAGATCAAAGCTCTGTAGTGGGGTTGTATGAAGTACTTATGTGTAGTCAGTGTACCCCAGTTTGGAGAAGCACACAGGAGTAACAACAAGTAAGCTAAGTGATGCACGGCTGTGGATGGGTGCTGCAGAAAAACTTATTTTAGCCTCATAATAAAATCAGTCTACCTGTGCGCAATATTAAGCATATTTTCCCTGCTTTACCTTGCCATCAGATCGCCCTTTCTGATGGGAACCTGAAGCATTTTTATTTCTTTCTCCAAAACCACCAGAGTCCTTTGACAAACAGTAATTTGGCGAACTGTAGTCGAGACATAACCTGACCAGACATCAGTGTTTTGGGGCACAGGTAACATCTGGCTCTACGTGAGCTGAGTGGTAGTAGGGCACTATAGTGCTGCTCACAGGGTGTGAAAAAGCGTGTTGTCACTGTTCCATTACCATGAACACACACGTTTAGGGAAGTCAGAAAGTACTGAGAGAGAGACTGACACATTGTTGGTTTCTGTATTTTCATGGGATTTGTTGCCAAGCTTTATCATTTAAAGATTTTTGCTATCCACACTTTTAGAAGAGCTCTAAATGAGTGTCCAGCAGTGCTTTGCATCACTCAGCAATAAAATACTGTAGCCATAATGAAAAGCATGAAAAGCTTGAAATAAGGTAAGAACATAAATCAGTGAGGCTGTAAAGTGGCTTAGTGTGCAAAGCCTGCAGAAAGCGTTAGCAGATTGTGTAAATACTGCTTCACTAAGGCATATCCACACCCTCCCATCCCAACTGGATGATTTATGAGCTCTCTTGACTGCTTAAATCTGCACGACCTTGATTGATATGAAAATTAATTTTCCATATGTTCAGTCGCTGCTGTTATAGATCAAAATATCTTTGATGGCCGGTCCTGTAGGCAGGCTGGTCCTGTAGGCAGTCCAGTGCTGGTGGGTTGTTGACCTGCGTTGGCAGACCATTTAAAGTTTGATCATTTAGAGGTTATTAGGGTTTTTTTCCCAATAGGAATAGAAAAAAGATTGTTTCATAAATTCAGCTTCATCCTCTGTGTGTTTTTATGGATGACAAGGAGTTCAGACAAGCTAGAAAAGTCGAGCTTTTACCGGAGTTACTGCGGCTCAGGGGATCATTTGTGTGCCTGATTTAACAAAAGAGTCTAACAATGAGACAACAAAATAGACTGTGTGGAGGTTGATGTGATATATTCACCAAAAACAGAGATTTGTATTCTTAACTTGTGGGAGAATTGATTTAAAGAAACATTCGTCACAATCCTTTGAGCAAGAGACGAGGATTAAACCTCTGCATGTCCGAGTATTTTGAATTTAAAAGAGAGCTGAAAAGGGGATATGAAGAGCTTCCTTTTTATCCGTAAGGACTGAGGATTTTTGATCTGTCTGGGCTGATAAAGATGACTTTTAGAGGCTTTCTGACCTTTATGGATATACAAACTAATTGATGCTCTTCCAGATGCTTAGTGTGTGATGTTGCGGATTACTGGCCTTATTTGACAGCTGTTTCAGAAATCAACTGT